AATGCACAAGTAAGGAAAACCTGCACGCAGCACTTTGAACGCTGTATTTGAACTCCTTACTACCAGATCATCTCCTGAAATACTACATTGGAAGATACATTAGCCAGAGCAGCTTTTCTATCAGTTTCTCCCTGCCAGGCAGGCTCTAGCTTATTTCAATACAAGTATTTCCCTTTAGAGTTTTCAAAGTGAGGTTACTTCAAATCTACAATCTTGAAAAGGCATTTTACAAAACAAAAAACACAGTAATGTTGTAATCCTCATAACTGGGTATGAAAATAAACAACTATTTTCTCCTGACCTCTTTATAGATTCAGACTAAGATCTGGCCGAACAATTACACCCTTTTACTGGGCACAGGGAGCCCAATGACACGTCTGATTAAACGGCACTTGTCAGAAAGAAAACTAACTTTGAGGTGGTTTTACTAGTCCTATAGAGAAAACCACTTCAGAAGGAACCCCCAAGCAAGCTGTAGTTTCACTGCAGGTTAAAAGCAACGGCCTCCACAGACCCTCAGCTACAAAAAAAACTCCGGCATTTTTTCCCCAAGTTTCTGTTGCTGGGTACCAGAATATGCTTGAGTGCTACAGCTCTGAAGTTACTGAAGAAAAGGTGATTCCTTTACAGGACTGAACAGGAAGGCACTACACCTCGGAAACACATGAAAACAGAAAACACAGAGTCTCAGTGGGACTTCACTACTTCTTAAGGTGAAGAGTGAAAGTACCAATTAGGTGAATCACTGCCCAGAACTCTTAACGGAGTGCAGAAAGCAACTTTGAGAACCGTATGAAATAAATGGGAGCTTCCCAAAATTTTCTGCTGATTTTCCACAAGCTTTGGTAGCAGTATTAAGACAAGGGGAATGCATCTCGGCAAGAGACTAAATAACATCTGATCTACAGAAACAACTCCAAGCTCTAGCTGCCAGCCACAGTGAGCTGTGTGAAGGCTTCGTCTCCCTCATCTGAAAAAGATGAACTCTCACAGCCACAGGAAAGTATCAGGCACAGAGCGTGCTTACAGTGAAATGCTCAGATTTGAGGCAATAGACCATCTGCTTAGCTTTGCTACTGCTTAAAGTCTTCGACATCCAGCAATCTTAAAAACCAACTCTAATTTAAAAGATTTTTCTAGATGGTTTGAACACATTCTCTGGACTTAATGCACTTTACAAATAAACATGGTACAACACAAAAGGACTGTTCTGCTCCTACTGGAAACCGCTGTAACAAGATGATCTATTCCTCCACCCCTGCCAAGTGATAATTGTTCAAAGAAGATCCCTTCTGTTCTTTTAAGCAGGTTTCTTAAAGACTGTCAATCTAGTCATATGAAAACTATCCTTGTGGTGGTGTCCAAGAAAACAAGGCCGTAGTACCACAGTTACCAGCTAAATCATTACAGGAAAGGAGCCTGGCCGTGAAGGGAGCAGAGATAGACACAGGAGTATAGGAGAGAGGTTTCCAGATGACATCAAACAAGTCAAAATCACTAACCGGGTGCTCTAAAAAATTCTGAATATGCAAATTGTACAATCATAGCCAATGAAGAATTCAAATCCTTGCTCTAGTAAGTTGTTTTATCTTTAACTCACAAAACCTTCTCAGGGACTACTCTACTCCGTTTCCAATGTTCTAGGTTATACATCTACACGCTCCCAAGAAAACATGACTACGACTTTCACTAGCTACTGTTTAACTTCCACTGATAGGTTGCTTCTCCTGGAGGATCATATGAAATCCTTCGCTCGTGTCTCTATTGATTGAGATTTTGATTTAATCTCTCCCTACCAATGGAAAAACATCTGTCTTGATGTCAGCACCTTACAGCCCTCTGACACCGAGTGTCACTTATTTTTAAACTCCCTTTCCAGTTGGTTCAGGGTAAGGCTTATCCACCACCTTGGGCTGATGAAAGCACGTACATCATGAGTTTGAGTTACCATGCTCATTTCTAGGGCACCTTCCATTCTTTCAAGAGTTACCTTAAAATGGCAAACCCAGCTCAAAATCAACAATACTGGCTTCCGATGCTCCAGATTCAATGAATCCCAGTTATTTCTGAGAGCAGGTGAAAAGATCAGATTGTGGTTTTTTCCTCCTTTTTCTCTTACTAGAAAAAATGGTTACAAAAACATACCACAAGAAAGAAAAACAGAAAAAGCAATGGCCTTTCCTTGATTTACTAAAAAAGGATTAGAACAAACCATCAGGGAAGCAAGGTCTTGCCCAACAAAACTGGTCCCAAACCATAAAGGGTCATGAGTGCTACACACTGCACATGAACACATTGAATTGAGAAAAATGGGCTTCTGGGCCATACTTACTTGAAACAGAATGATAAAATCTTGGTTTAAAAAGTTTTCAGATTTTTTTTCTGCATTTGTATTTCACACCTCTTTCTTTCCCTTAGGATATATTGCTACAGTCACCATCTAGAGAGCTTGCCTCCAGCCTTGAGAGAGTTCCTCAAGCACGATGGCAGCTACACTTTAAGCCGTTTAGTCAAGCTGGGTACATTTACTATTAGGCAGATCACCACTCAGACCACTTTTATTGCTGCTCTTCAAATCTTTTAAGCTGTACATATGTAGTGGTAAACATCAGGGAACAGCAGATTAAAAAAAATAACCAACTAACCCACATTTTCCCTCAGCAGAAATTTCAGTTTCAGAAGAACAAACTCACTGAAACGTTTCTTTACTTTTCTTAGAAGCTTTCATTACAACTGGAGCATCAGAAAGAGAGAAAGCCAATATGCAATCATGGTTCATAATCCTATTAGGACAATAAACTGGGGGATGGGAAGAGACTGGAAGAAGATGCCAATCCTCACATGCTCATTAAGGAAAATGGCAAAAATAGAGAATGCTTCTGCTTGTCGGTAGAAAATTCAGGGAGCAAGTAATCTGTTTCAAAATGGAAACACAAAATACCTGTGTAAAACATTAAGCTTGCTTGCTCTCTTACAAAGAGAAAATTAAGACATAAATAAAGTAGAACTTTTAGAAAAACCAAAACCAAACAAAAGAAACAACATGTTTTTAAGCTGCACCTTGTTCAACATGAGACAGCCCTGGAAAACACCTAAATTTTTATTTTTTCAAGTTGGACAAGTTTTAAAACTTGTCTTCTCTTAACTGCTTGCACCTTCACAGAAGTATCATTTTATCACTTATGGCCTGTCATTAAATAGCTCTATCTTTACAGTTTCTCCAAACAAACTCTGTGTCCAAGGACTTCTTCAAGCACTAATTCTGCTCTTATCTTCTGGAAATGCATCGCCAGCGCTGGGCACAGCGCTGCACACCAGGACTAAGCACTGATTTGTGTAACAGGGACACCCATTCTTTTGCAACATATCCCTTGTCCAAATCAACTTTCACTTTACTTCTTGAACATACACTAACTGAGAAAGTCCAGGTCACCTTCCCGAGCTGGGGAATCCCATTTGCAGCCGCCATCAGGCTAGGACTGAACTCTTTGACAAAATGCAGTTTGCTGGCCTGTTCCTTACCAGGGGTGGGTTTCTTTAAAAGAAACCAAGACATCACAGAACCTCCCCGTCCAGGTTCATACAAACGCCGTCAGATGGAGGCCTTAGGTAGGTCCCTTTGCTTTGGGGGAATTCTACTTGAGTTCACATTAAAAAAAAATAAATCAGTAGTTTCATCACGAAACTGCAGAGTGGCCAATACGAACAGTGGCTAGCAGAAATCTACTTCAAAGAACTCGGAAAACCGTAACTTTATAGAAATAAGCTGGATAATTACAATTTGTCACTCTTCCCACAAATTTCAAAGAAAAACAAATGAAAGGCAAGCTGAGGGTTTTTCTGTGCACTCCAAGCCCCTCCACACAAGTTTAGCCAAATCAGAGCCTGGAGAGAGCTGTATCTACTTTCAAATGCTATGACCTTCACTCAGATCACAAGCATCTCTTCCTTAAGCAAAGGGTTCCCCTTCGCTGCTGAGAAAAAGCTTTTTGTATTTCTCAAAAGTTAAAATGAACTACGTAGTACTCCACAGTGATGTCAGCATTTCTTCAGAGAACACTATTTCTTTATGTCAGGCAATTTTTTTCATGATTCCTAACACATCAATGAATTAACACTTATATGTTAATAAACTACAACGATAACGACTACTGACGTATGGTTAAATAAAATATGTTTAAAAAAGGTAATTTCATCTCTGGTATCAGAACAGGGTGAGTTTGCTATCAAAATTTCAGGAAGGCACTGGACCAAACCACCTCAGACAAGAGATGAGGCTCACTGCTACCCAGCTGAAAAACAGGAGCAGCAATCAGAACGCTTCTCTAAGCTCACACCTGGAAAATTAAGAACTAAAAAGCTATTACTATACCAAGCAGGGATCAAAGCAGTGTCTCATGACTACAGATACTACCAGGTGTATATATTCCCTGTTCCGATCTGCAATGGCCACCAAATGAGACTTCCTGCCCGGACACTGCCCTTTCCTTTTGCAGAGTCTGCATTAGTTTGGCAATCTGTGTGAAATGCAGTGTTTTCAGAGCAGTTTCTCTGTATTTGAAAAACATTCACTGCACAGCTGTTGACAGCGGCCCTTGACAAGAGGACCAATTACTACACCTCTCCCTTCAATCTACAAATATTTCTCTAACAGGTTTCCCATTGCTTTAGAAGATATTGTTGTCTGGCAGCTAAACTGAGACGCTGCACAGAAGTAATCATCTGCTTCCTTTTTGCAGGATTACGCTGCTCTTTTCTAATTCACCCTGCTAAGATACTATCCAACTTCTAACTTCAAGGATGTGTTTTTCTATGAGGGTTTTCATTCCTGATTACTTGAGAAATACTGTTTCAATTATCTTGCTTTCATGCCATAACTGGTGACTGAAACGGATAACTACAGACTCAAGAAAGTGCATTCTTCACTTCTGTTCCAGAACACCTGCATGGAAAAAGAAACAAGTGCAATACACAGAACATATTAAATTATATGCACATACTTTAGTCATTGCTCCTGTCTGTGCTGTGTTCAGTCCGGTGTGACCAGCCATCTGTGGAGATACTTGGGTTAAAGTCTCTGCCAGCACACTGCCTGCATTCCCCTGCATGGCAGGGGCAGAATATTGCATTCCTGCTCCCCTTCCTCTTCCAGCTGCCCCTAGGGATCCATTCATTACCTGCCCTTGTCCTTGCTGAGGCTGATTCATTAAACTGTGACCAGAATTACTGTTGAGAAGGCTCTGGTGTGTCTGACTGAAATTAGTATTCATACATATCCCAGGTCCAGTCTGTGATGTTGCAGGGCTGCTTGTCACCATCCCCACTTGTTTTTGTGCTTGAGAGTTCAGAGTTTGTGATGCAGGTGTGGTAGGTCCAGAGGTGCTGGCTGCTTGCTTTGCCAGGCCTGAAGCAGAAGAGTCTCCCTGGTTTAAAGGGCTCTTACCCATAGCACCCAGATTACCAAGATTAGCACTGTTCGGCTGCCCTTGAACTTGACTACCAACTCCCTGCTGGACAGGGCTGTTTGAGTTCACATTTCCAATTCCTGGGTTTAAGGAAGAGCCGCTGCCTCCCCTCAGAAGTTCAGAAAGTTGTTTGTGTTTGGAAGCTGCATCTGGAACAAGGTTCCCACTGCTGTTTAAAAGGCCCAACTCGCCATTGGGGATCAGCTCATCAGGAAGATCATTTTCCAAGTCAAACAAAGATCCAAAATCTACAAGTAAAACAGAAACACAGGTGAGAAAAACATGACAAACAAGTACCTAAATATTCATCTACAGTACTTTGTACTAGTCTTAAACAGTGACATGCATTAAGGTACATCTTCACACATGACTCAGTATTGCCAGCAAGCGAGTGAGGGTCCCTGTGATGTGAACTCCTTCAGAAAGCACCTTCGCTGGTGCACACCGTGCGCACACAACCACGCAGGGCAGAGCACCAGCCAGGAAGCAGTTTTTTTTGGCAAGACTTTTGACTAAATGTTGTACCAAGCTTAAGAAACTAAGGTTAGATCATTGCATTCGTGCCACCTAATTCTTAAATTTCTCTTGAGTTGGCTAAGACAAGGCAGCAGAAATATCAAGAGATTTTTTTTCTTATTGATTTACTCTTCCAAAAGAGCAATTACATCACCTTCTCCAACCTCCTAGGTAATCCCAGACCACTGTATTTCACCCAGCAACCCTACCCAAACGTTGTAATGTATGTTTGCATATGGCCAGAGAACATCTTCCAGCTCAGCTTCGAAGCATGATCAAAGACAACAACTACTTCTCCAGTAGTTTGATCCCACTCTCACCTATAAATGCATTCAATATCAATTTCTAGTCAGATCTGTACCATGATCTGCTACCTCAGAAGATCCCAAAAGGCACTTGGTGCTTTATCCTCATGCTGCCTCTTAAATCAGCTCACTTCTCAATCTCTGAACAGCTCATATAATTCAAATTGCTCTCGAAGAGCCCAGCCCTCATTCATCATGCCCAATATTGACATATGTAATCCACACACTCTCCAGATGAGCAAAATAAATCAATCAAATCTTCATTAAGCCACTTGAAGGAATTGCTCTGCCTGGCTGTAACACAAACTGATAAAAGAGTGGTGGGGGTTTGGTTGTGTTTGTTTTTTAAAGGTTCACTAAAATGTTTTATTGCACATCATAAGCCTTGTCTAGGTAACAAAGTTATTTTGGTATGTAACCAAAAATAGAAAGCTACTTGACTGTATATGGGTACTTCCAAGTAAAAATAAAAATTATATCTGAAGACATAAGGACAAGCGCACAGCAGTATTACTAAACCTGTAAGCACACTAGCCTCCATTCATCAGAGCAGCTGTTCAAAACATGCAGCACACGTCAGAAAGGTTTTCCAGACCAAGGAGGTGATCTAAAGCAACCACTTTTTACTGGAACATAACAGAAACATGCAAAGACTATTTTGCCCTGACAAACCCAGCCCTGAAAAACCCTAGGTTCCTCACAGGGAGCAGCAGACAAGCCACATTTTTCCAAGTTAGAGCAAACAAAAGTTCTTTTCTAAAGAAAGGCATCCCAAAAGCTTCATTATTTCAAAGTTTAATTCACTCTTCAACCACAAAAAGTTGGTGCAAGACACAGATTGCAAAAGCAGCATAAGATCACTCGGCACGTGACAGCCTGGACCACACTGACGGCACAGAAAAGGAACAACAAAACCCAGACACCGCTTTAACCTCCATCCCAAAGCTAGGATGCATCAGAATCCACTCCAGACCATTTAAATACAATGCATTTCATCAGCATTTGAATTTTCAATGCAACCTAACTGAAGAAATAGGAATAAAAATTTTTAGATGTGTTGCAGTGATGAGTGAATTATATAAACAGTCACAGCAAACACAAAAACGTTAAATTTGGCCTCTCTGGAGGCGCTTGCAGCAGCACATCCTCTAGAGGCCCACATTCTGCCATCGTTACCTACTGAATTCAATAAGCTCTGAAGAATTCTGCCAGGCTGGCACCGCATCGGCCACAACAAAATCCAGCACAGCTCAGAACAGACCTCCTCTTTCCTTTCAGGCAGGGAGGTAACAAAACAACATTTTCATTAGCTAGGTTCACTAAAGTATTTTTAGTTTCTCTCTTACTTGCAGCCTTTCCCTCCAGTTGTTCAGTTCACCTTTTCAGCTTGTCTTCTACAGACATTCCTGGGGTACCTTCAGCTACATTCCTTTCGGCAGCGGCTCCATCTCTCGTCCTCTTTCCTACAAAGCCACTTGACACTGCGCTGCAATTTCTGTCTCTTCCCATTTTGCTTCTTTCTCCCAGGATGTCACTATTGTCACGTCCATCCATCTCTAACCCCACTCTGTTGAAAATCCCATTGCCTGTTTTCAGCACCAAACCCGGTTTGGGTGCCCAGGTCCCTGCAGCACTGGGCTCTGCCCCAGCCGGCGGTGGCGGCTGCAGCCTGGAGCCCGACCAAAGCCATCTGCTGCGCATCACCAAGGGTGGTGACACACGGCCCATGGATGAAGCGTCACCTTCGTTAAACTGCTCTCATCATCCCAGCTTGCTGGGAAGTTCAAGGTTTACAGCACTTGTTCAGACAACTTTTGTAAATCCCATGAACGCTGCTTTTCCAAGCTTCTGCACTCAAATGGTTAATATTTCATGAACCAAATATATAGGTGAGTGTGTGTGCGCATGTGCAGGGCCAGAGGAGAAGTGGCAAAACGTGGAGTGGGAAGATGTTGTTGCGGCTTAAAAAAAGAAGAGTAAGGGGGTTTTTTTCCGGTTGTATTTCAAATGGGATGTTGGAATATAAGAGATCGATTTTTTCTGTTTGGCTGCCTGGACTCTTTAACCAGAGCCAAGGACTGGAAGTGTTTTTGCAGTTTACAAAAAGAGTGAAGAAAGCATTTGGGAATACTGCCTCTTAAAACCTAAATTAATCTACCACTCCTAAGCTCTTGTAAGAAGGCTATACATCAAGGTTAGGCATGGAAAGTTTACAGCTCTGCCAGCAGGACAATAAAAAGCAAGGTAAACAGCTTAGCACAGCAGCCGTGTAAAAATACACGGAGTATTCAAATGTTCAGGCAATTATTAATCTTCCTGCTTTTATACCTTAATCAGTTGTGTAAGTTAAAAACATCAACACAAGGCACATTTTACAACAGATATAAAATACAACAGAAAACAAAAGCTTACTTGAGCACGTCTGCAACAAATTCATAAAGATAAGAGATTGCCTTGGCAGTTATAAAAATAATAAATATATTTATGCACATGTAAAAATCCACTATAATATAAAGGCAGCCCTTTTCTACTGGTAGCAAAATGAAAAGTAACCTCAGCCCCCCCATCCTCATTAAAAGAGCTTAACTGATCCCATTCTCAATGCTTCAATTACTTCTCAAAGTCAATGACAGCTATCAAAGTCTAACCAAAAAAAATTAACAACATCGAGAGATGCCGATGCCTTTACAGAGTTACCTGACGCAACGCTCGAAGAACGCCTACGCTGAGGAGTCCCACTCCAGTTACTGAGCGTTGTACCTGCTCCTTACCTCACATGCACCAGGCAGAAAAAGTGATCTTTAAAGATTCCCTTACTCCTAGGGCACATCTGTCTGGTTTCAGAGCATAGGAAGCAGCAGAGCTGACTAAGGCTGTGGAGCCACCTCGTCATGTCTCATCTCTGACACTGCACTTCCGATCCTAAACCTCACACCTTTCATTATCTCTGTTATGTAAAACCAAGTGGCCTCTTAACAGGAGAGAGCCAAAACCCAGAGATAAGCTGTCTTTTGGAAGGGATGGAAAAGCACGAGGCATCTACAACACCCCCACTCTTTTCGAAGGGCTCCATTTCCCATTTGAGAATTTTGCTTTCTCTGAGCATCTATTTTCACACATAGAAGATAACCACACTTGAGACACCCTCTCTCCTGATTGCAGTTTTATGAGCTTAAATGTCAGAGTTTTCTGCCTTCCTGGACAACACTTTCTGCAACCAGAATAAAAAAAAGATGTGCTGTTTCCTTCCAACCCTTCTCAGGAAAATAAAAGCAAACCCCAAAAACTGTGCCGCTTTTTCCAAGCAGAACATTTTCATCTGCATGACTACTTGCAACTGTTATCAGGAGAGTCTTTCTTAATATAGACAGTCAATCAATTAACTTGTTTCAATGTTTCTATTTTTTCCTCTTTAGCTAAGCCTGAAGAGGTGACAAATATTCTCAGCATTTCTTTATGTGATTTATTCTCTCTAACAAATCACACAGCAAGCAGGTGAGGAATTTCAAATCAATTTTCATCGATCGGCATTTTCCTGTTCTGAACTCTTAAGTGCCCGTCCACAGAGCAGACACTGAAGTCACACTGCAGGCTCAATACACAAGCAGTATTTTCAGTGTCTTTCTTTCATGCCAACATAGCTGTTACATGTCAGTGAGCCCAATTTTGTTTTGCAAGGCTTCTTTCAATCATGCCAGACCCCAGCAGACAAAGCCTCAACAGTTCAGAGCTCCAGCCATTCCCCAAAATTCAACGTCAGGTAACTCAACTCAATAGCCACACTGTTTTGGTGCAGTCAGCAACTGCATCCATTCCAACCTCCTTCGAGGTTTGAGGATTCTGTAATTTATTGTTTCGTAAAAGACAATTAGCGCATTTAATGTTTTAGAGCAATTAAACAACACACTCATTAAAAAAATAAAATTTCCAGTAAGGAAACTCTACATTAACGTCTTAACCTAATGAGACACACAGGAAGATTGCAAAGTGATGTGCATCTGACCTTGACTTTCAGAAGAGCAGCATCACTCTGAGAACATGGTATTTAACACCCAGGCTGAGAAAGACAGCGACGAGGACCTGGCTGGGCCAAGGAGACCCCTAAAGGCCGGGGAGAGGAGACCAAAGGGGAAATAGATCAACGGCCAGCATCTGGATGAGACCCAACAAGTTACAGCTTGCATAATAAGAGATTTGGATATCTAACTAAATTTCTTTCTGCCTGGTCTTTAGAACTACTTGCATTTGGGATGAGAAAAAAAATACAGTCTGGTTTGCTTATTCCCAAGTCAGTGGACTGGTCAAAATTCACATGTATCAGTACACAGAAGCAAACCTTGCCTTTACGCATTCTAGGTACTTGCCTGTAGGAAACTCATTAGAATAATTATCATAGCGCTCTCTTGCTTACAGACTCAGTCACTGAG